GAATGTAAAACAAACGGGATATCGACGTGGCGCCATCGCAGATGCGTCTCGTCATTCTCCCGGTGATCCCGGTCCAGAAGTCGGGTGCTCCCGGGTCTACCTCAAATTACACCCTGGTCGAGTTCCGAGCCCCAAAACTCCTGTGTAAACATCTCGAGAGGGATGTTCGAGGCGCCACTCCGATACCCGCGACTGTTCTACGGTCACTCCAAGAAACGAACCTTTCGGGTTTAAGGTGAAGTGAAACACGTCGGGAAATTTTTTCGACGTTGGTAAAAAAGATTCTACTAAATTCCAACGTTCGCATTTATATCGGCAGCCGTGTCGAATTATATTGGGTATCGTACTGAATGGCGTACTCCATATGTCGTTTCCGTACAATAATTATAAAGAAATTTAAGGCGATAAAACTCCAGAAATCTCCTAGACTCGTGATTTTTTATGCCCTAGTTGACTGCGGAGTGCCATTCTGCGCCATCTGTGATTTTACCGTCGACTAAATTTTCTCTTCGAGACCTCGTATTACCTTCGTTTTAGCTTAGAAGCGCGTAAGACACTGTTTTGCCTTTATCCTGTTCAAATGCGAGTTTCTCGATTACTAGAGTGTTCTAAATTGTTGTACAATTGTCCTGACACCTTCGTTTCTCATATCAGAGTCTTCAATACTTGTATATCGATCCACTTCACCTTAATCCCGCAGGCAGGTTGACTTTCCTCCCTCCATAAGGGCTGAAAAATGTCTCACAATCGAATGGACCAATTTTTTGCCGCAGTAGATTCCAGATTCCTCACGGTGGAATCGTTAAGATGATTAATCGGTAAAATTTTCGTTCCATGATTCGCTCGAGGAGCAAAGTAACGAGAAGAACGGTGAACGCAAAGGGGTGAGGATCCGAAGATTTCCGATTCAGGTTATCGTCCCAAAGCATGCCGGCTGAATAACAATTGCCACTGGTGGAGTCTCCCTCCGTGCAACGGTCCCGGGGCACGGAAACACCCCATTAGAAGGCCGTTAAATAATAAAGCCGCCATATTAGGCGCAGACACCCCAGAGTTCGCACAACCAGAAGAGGATTATCCCACAACGATACGACTCGGCCTCCCCTAACGTCGAATATCTCCCGTGTACTCCTATAACCGAGAGATCATTCGATACACGTTGCGCCCCTCTCCCTACCCCGATGAACAATTCGCAAACGACAAGGTTTCCCTCTCTTCCCTTCCAACACCCTCGGCCCCCTTCCAGGAATCTCCATAATCTGGTTGGAGAACAAATTCGTTAGAAAAATTGTAAGAAATTAGTTGATCTTCCCTGTTGGTTACTAGTTGCTCAAAGAAATATTTACTGCAAGAATAAAATCCTGCGATCAAATCCCTCCGAAACGAATGTCGGGTCGAGTACGGAATATAATTGTTTCTTGCAATTATATACGATTCAGGCAACTATACGTGAACGATGTATATATATTTATTCCGGCCTAGTGATATTTTTTCTCAGGGTAGTTTTTAACTAATGGAAGTCTTACGCAAAAATTGCCGGCATTATCGGCAACGGGAAATTTCCCGCGTGTTCTTAATCCTTGTACGGCATTAAACGGGGTAAATTAGCGTTTCTGGGTGACGTAACGTCGGTGTAGGTTAATTATTTCCCGGAGTACCGATAACGCCTCTTCGGACCGGTCTCTCGACAAACGAGCCGTTTGCCTCGTGCAGTTAACCACCTCCGCGGAGTTATCCTCTGTAATGTTGCGAAATGCCCCACGTCAGTTCGCAAAAAGAGAAGTGTCCCTACGTGTCTGTAATCGACGCAGGGGAGAGAGTAATTGATAAAGTACGGTTTCGGCGCGAGGGAAAGCGACGTGGGGGGAAGGAGGGACGCGGAAAGGGGGAAAAGGAAAAAGGAAAATGGCTGACGTGCGAGCCGGTCATTTGTCTCGGGCGGCAAACAAACGACACACGCGATGGATCGATCCGCGTAATCGAGGGCGGATGATGGAACGGTGTGTATTCTCTATGCCTACCTGCCGTTATCGCGGCATTTATCTGCGAGATACCTCGTCCTCGATATATTCTATTATATCCCCCGCCGTAATCCATTATGGAGAGAGCACGATTCGCGACTTCGCGGGCTCTTCGAATGCCGCATCGAATCGACGCAATTATCGGAATATCGGCGAGTAAACGACTCCAAGGACGTTACGTGGGATCAATTGTATCGATTTAAGGAGAATGGATCGGCTACGAGGGATAATGGGTTCATATTCCTCCCCTTCTACTTTTTTACTCTTACTTTGTTGCACGACAAGAGTTCCGACTGATCTAGTCCGGGCCAATAAGTTAACCCAATTTCGACGCGAGATTGACTTGAATTTTCCCTCGCGATTAACGAATTAAACGCATCCCAGATTGTGAGAATTCATTTCATTATGATATTCTTGGACCGAAAATTTCGAGAGGGGGTAAAAGAGAGATCGCAAGTGTTAGTCAACGGTATTTTATATACGGGAGGAAGAGAGATGCACATAGGAAGGCGAGTATTGGGTGTAAGATAAAGAAATGATGCAATCCGGTATTTATCGCCGTAAGATTAATTTTTTCGAAAAATGGACTTACGCCACTTTCAAAATAAACGGCTTATATGTACTAAATTTTCTAATATATGTTATACGATTTAATGTGAAAATATGTTATAAAATTATCATATTCATTTTAACAGTGTAGTTGTTAGGTGTTACGGAGGTCGCCTGGCGAGTCAAAGTCGGAGGATGAGAGACGAGGGAAGAAAAATAATAAGAGGTGGATCTCAAGATGCTAAGAATAGAACCACCGACTGTCGTTGTCGGGCAATTAGCCACCAATAACTATTTACCACCTCTCGGTGTCGGTCCCTGGTCATTGGGCTCTGCAGGGGTTTACTGGTAGTCCATTGTAGCCCTACCTAGAGATCCCTCGAGGATAGGGCCAGGGAATCCCGGAGCTCACTTTTCCGAGCTTTCCCCGGGATTTTCGCCAGTAAGACCGGACATGTGTTTCGGATTGGCCCGGGGTCAGCTCGAGAAGAAGGAGCCACCTGACGTCCCCTGGCCATTTCGGCCATCTCTCGACCGTTTCGACAGTTTCTACCGACAGCCGACTCTCTGTCACAAAAACGAGTATATGGCCCCCTGGACACGAACAAGGCCGTATCGATAGACGAGATTCCTCGAGAATCCATTATTGACGCGGCCATTCGACCCCTGTGTAAATCATTCCCGACAGCATAGAAAATGGAAATGGAAAATCCCTGCCCTCTCCGTCGCCACGTTATCACCGCATTCGGAGATTAATCCATTTCTCCTACTATTTAAAATCCATAACGTAGCATTTAAGACAATTCTTTAATAATCTAACGGACGCCTTGAAGCGCTCGCAGGAGTCGTATGGTCAACGGCGTCCTCCCCGGGGAAATTCCTCGATATTTTCCAGGAACTCCTAATCCCGCCTGTCTTTCCCAGTCCATTGTCCTCAGCAGGGCCGAAAATAGTTCGAAATCACCGAATGCACCTGTATGGCGGGTACCGCGACCCGTCAAGAGTGCTCGCTAATTTCATTTATGTCCTTGAAAGGTTAATTGATACTTACGTGTAGGATTAGGGATCTCTCTTTTCGCATAATACCTCGAGGTTTCCCCGTTTGGGGGTTAAAATTCTCGGGTGGTCCCAGCCCGGACGTATTCTCGAAGTTTCTCACGTTTTCCGCGGGGCGGCGCGGATAGGTAACCTAACCTCCCTCGACGACACCTTCCTCCGAGTAGGTGTACTCGTCTACGTCCCCACGCATCCACATACGGCCGCGATTCCCCGGAAAGCGCCGCGTCTGCGGGAAATCGCGAATCAGAATATCCGGCGAGACTAAAGCCGACGTCGTCGTCGGGGCGCTCGATAACGCGGCCGCGTCGCGACGCCGTGCCATTTCAGCGCCGTCGCGCATCCTCCTCGTCACGTCGAAGGTACCTCTCGCGTGCGAAGTCTCCTGGCGGACGACGAGAACAAAAAAAAAAGAGAGAGAGAGAATTCCCTGTAGTTAAAGTGACCGTTCTCCAGGTTTTCTTCACGATAAAAGATAAAATAATAGAAAATAGAAATTAGACCAGCATGGATTTTCAGGTGGAACGTGAGTTTCGGAAGGAAGGTGTACAGAAAGGTATATGGGAATACGGTCACGTCCGATTACCATTTGCCGATCGATTCGCGTCCCGTGACATAACCTAAAAAATGCGACGTCGCCATGGCGGCGCTCGGAGTCTCGCGATTTCCCGGATCGCTCTCCTTGCGGCGAAGATCGCAGGTAAGCCGCGGCATAAATAACATCGAGTGGCCCATCTAGGGAAAGAATCGATCCGGGCGGAAGGCTGTCAATCTTGGTTGCGCTATTGGTAAAAGAGGCGAGTCCGGCGAAGACGCAACGGAAGAGGAGGTGGCGAGAGCGAGGGAAAAGGAGGACGCCCTTATGCGGGCGAAGGGAGGGGAAGGGAGAGAGAGCGCCTCCGCGGCAGTCGGGAGAGATCGCGCTCGATTCCCCCACTCCTCGGTCGCCGCCCCTCCCGCGGCTCGTCTCTCGGTCTCCGTTGGACTCGCGGCGCGGCGCGTCCTCGCTCTCTCGCGCCGATGGGCGGATGCGGCGCAGGGAGGGGGCGGCCGGGCGGCGCGCGGTGGGGATGCGGGTCACGTGACCGGCGGAGGGGATAATTAAACCCACACAAGGGTGGCGGGCCCGGAGGTGGGGGGGCAAAGAAAGGTCGCCATGGCGACGGGCCGGAGATCCGGCCAATCGGCGCGCGGCGAGGGGGCGTGGCTTGGCGATTGGCTGCCGCGAGCCGGCGAGGTAGGTAGCGGCCCGACTCCCGGTGCAGCGGGCCAGGACAAACGTATCATGCAGGGGAGGGCTGGGGCCGAGATGCCGGGTTGTAAGCGAAACCAGTTTGCTATCCGATACGATCGAGGCAACAGTCCCGCATTCTGTCGCGCGATACCCGCCGTCGCAGCCTCTCACCTTCGCCGAGGACGGGGCCCCGCGCGCTGCGGCGACGGGCCCGGGAAGAGGAGCGCGCGGGCTCTGCCCGTCACTCCGTAGTGGCCGCGCGACCCGCACAGTGCTCCGCGCCGGCCGCCGCAGACCGGAACTCCCAGGAGCCCCGGACCCCGTCGGTAGGGCCCGGAGGGAGCGGGCCGATATGCGAAGCGCCCGGGTGAGTTCGACGCCCGGCCGCGCGGCCTGAGGGGCCGGTACCCGCCAGCCGCCCCAGGAGACGGACCCCCGCGAGCGCAGAGGAGGAGCCATGTCGGCCGTCGCCCCGGCGGGCACCGGGACCACCGGCCCCGGCGCCAACAACGGACCCGTCGTCCCGGCCCCGGTCTTCGCGCTGCCCACCCTGTCCTTCACCGTCGGCCAGGTGGCCACGGTCTGCGAGACCCTCGAGGAGAGCGGCGACATCGAGCGGCTGGCCAGGTTCCTCTGGAGTCTGCCCGTCGCCCACCCCAACATCCAGGAACTGAACCAGAGCGAGGCCGTGCTGCGCGCCAGGGCCATCGTCGCCTTCCACTCGGGACACTACCGCGAGCTCTACGCCATCCTCGAGAGGCACAAGTTCACCAAGGATTCACACGGCAAGCTCCAGGCCATGTGGCTCGAGGCCCACTACCAGGAGGCCGAGAAACTCCGCGGTCGACCCCTCGGGCCCGTCGACAAGTACCGCGTCCGCAAGAAGTTCCCTCTGCCCAGGACCATCTGGGACGGCGAGCAGAAGACCCATTGCTTCAAGGAGCGCACCAGGTCGCTGCTCAGGGAGTGGTACCTCCAGGACCCCTATCCCAACCCTGGCAAGAAGAGGGAACTCGCCGCCGCGACCGGACTCACTCCCACCCAGGTCGGGAACTGGTTCAAAAACCGCAGGCAGAGGGACCGCGCCGCCGCAGCCAAGAACAGGTACGTCGAAATAGAGACCGACCTCCACCGGGGAGGCTCGATGACGATTTCACGCTACGTCGGTCCAACTAGATAATCCCCGGGTATGGAAATTGGCTCGCCGTTTGATGCAAACACTTGGACTCGTACCTCGTTTTTAACGTCAATGGACGTTTCTTATCTGGATAAGGACGTCTTTTAACGTTGACAGGGTACGAGGATGAATTTTGGGTGCTGCGTCGCGACAGAAATTCTGGAGACGTTAAAACGGTGCGTCAACCATGTTCCAATGTCTACGTAAAATACGGTAGAAAGTGCTACGCGTTGGTTGCCATTGACTTAAATCTAACCCGTAAGAATACCTTGTGTGACCTTGTCCGACGGAGATTGGTAACGATGTTAAGTCACCTCGTGCCTTTCAATGGATCCTGTCGATAGCTGTATTCGCAAGTCCCGGAGGATTTCAAGGTCCATTCTTTTCTTTTCTTTTTTTTTTTTTTGTTAATGGAGCACTCCCGTATTCAAGGGACGGGCACAAATCTTGAGACGATGGATCTAGAAGATACCGAACGTTGCCGTTGGGCGTCGCTACGGTTACACCGTACACATCCGTAAATTCTAGGTCACTTTCTGATATCGATTCCCGGAATATTCTGCACTTTAGACGTCCCAATCCAGATAGAATGTACAGGGAACGCGACGCTGATATTCCTAAATTTGAGGTTATGGGATACATAACGGACGAGTCGCTCGATAAATATCAGCGTCACCTTCCGACGCGCGTGTTTCTGCTCGAGCGACGTGAATTCAGCTGTTTATCTTGCGAGGCACTCGAAAACAAAAAAAAAAGGTTTCGATCTACATTCCTTTACCTTTAGACCGACAGTCGCGTCGCGTTCTCGCGTCTTCAAGTCCGGCTTGGGAGTCTCGTTTATTAAGTAGCGTTTAATGGGAGGTAAATCGCGAAACGATTAGCGGTTTTGGGACCCTTTCGACGGGATTGCGCCGTGTTGTTCTCCGGCAAACGAGCCTTTGTGCCGCTCCGACGTCCCGGCGAGGGTCGCGTAATTTCATTTCGACGTCCGACGGAGGGTCGCTGCCTGTCGGGGCCGACGATTTTCAAATTACGACTTCGAAATCGCATTCCGCGAAATTTGTCCCCCTTTCTCCCCCCATGTCGTGAGTTCCGCGATTTTCCAAAATCGAGGCATGATTTTCACGGTACCTCGTATCGCGTGAGAGGGAAATAGAGAGATTGGTCGAATGCCGCCAAAGGATACGCGACTAGGGAGACCGACGACTACGAGGTTTCTTAACCTCGAAATTTATTTATAGTATTTTTTAACGACGAGTAGGAGACGTAAGACAGCGATCCCGAGAGACTTAGTGTTAACGATATCCGCGTTAACAGTATGTACTCGTATCTCACATTTAAGGTCAAGAGATGCCTTTTAGAGATTGAAAAACCGCGGATAAATGGTGTCGTTTTAACGCCGAAGGTGAAGTACGAGGGCGGATCGAAGTGTGTAGACGAACCGACGTTCGACTTTGTGTGAGTAGTTTGTACGACTTTGATAACGAGAGCGTTTCAATGTACACTTGTAAGTAGAAGTTTATCACTTCTTAATTGATACTGACGGAGCGCTTTGAATGTATTTTCTTTTTTTAATGTCATTTGTTATGTCTTCCAAACATCGACGTCTTGCTTCTTTCTGATTTTTGTTTTAATTTGGCAAAGGGTTTTTTCCTTTTTTCTTTATTTTCTTTAAATTCGCACTTTTCTCGGCCGATTTTCGATTCGTTAAGGGGGGGATCCTCGAGCGCGCGATAATTTGTCGCCGGCGCTCCAGTCGGTATTCCGTCCGGCCGTCGCAACATTAATTCTCATTGTCCGGGCGTCATTAAAGGGCACTCTACACACCGTGGCAACCGTGGTAACTGCAGGTCCCACCTGTCGGCCTACCGTTTCGTTTCTTTTGACAGCAGGTAAAATGACTGGTGGTTGCACTGTTCGGCTGCCGGAGGGCGAGGAGGCCCCTCCGGGGCCCTAGACACCGGGCCCGTGCTTGCAGGCGATGGGTTTTCCCGGCCGCCTAGGGATTTTCTCGCGACGGTCCCCCAGGATTTACGATCTCCAGGTTTATGCGGGATTGGGAAACCCAATCCAATTTGTTAGGGCCCGTACGCCGGGTTTCCCCGGGGCTGCGATGACGTCGAGTCCGACCCTGACTTAACAAGTTTCCGGAATTTCCCGAATTATCCAGGAAACTCGCGTCCCTCGTATTCTCTCACTCGCGAGGTTTCCTCCTCCCTTTCGTAATCCCGCCAGAGTCGCGATTCCGAGAAGTTACGAGACGTCAAAGATTCGAGGTGGGCGAACTCGCCTCCTCGGCCGCCATACTTGACGCGAAGGTTGAGCGAGGGTAAAGGACTGCGCGGGCCTTGAGATCTCGTTCTCGTTAACGCCTTATTTCGAATTAAACGTCCGAGTTTGTGATTATTGTAGCTTTCGCGATCGAGAATTTCACCGTAATTCATCTTTCCCGACTCTTCGTCGACTGCCATAACCGAATTCTCCAGGTCGATGGAAATTCTTTTAACCTTCTCCCCCGTCCGCAATCCACATGAAAGCCTCCGGTGGCGCGTCCCCTCCCTACCCCTCTTGTCGAGTCCCTTACCGACAATGGGTGCCGCGCAGTGCACATAACCCCAACATAACCTCTCACGTAACGACATCCCGTTCCTGGAGGCGCGCCACGTCTTCCCCTAATCCGGGAATCTCCGGGGCGATTCCCTCCCTTTCTCCCCTCCCTCTTCCCCTGACTCCGTCGTTCGAGACTCCTCGGCTTTCTCGCTCTCCTCCTTTCCAACTCTTCATTTTCTCTCTCCGTCCCTCTCCATCGACTCATCCTCGCGTGCGCGTTTCTCTTTTCACGGTCGCCCTGCCTCGGGAAGTAACGAGACGGCGAGACGGGTCGCTCCGTCTCTCTTTCTCGCGCACCTTCTACTGTATCTCTGTCTCTTTCGCACGATAGGCACGCAGAGACGGAGAAAGGTTTCCGTTGCTCACTTCCGGGTGGTATCTGCGTATAGGAGGGAAGGAGACGCACCTACCCCTCCATCCTTCGTCCTCCTGCTTACCCTACTGTCCTTTCTTCACCTCCTTCGATCTCTCCGTCCCTCTCGCTCGGGCCTCGCCGGAGAAACGGAGATACCTGGACCCCTTTCTTCGCCTCTCTCTCCCTCTTCCATCCCCTCGGATGCCTCCGTCTCTCTCGCTCTCGTTGGCTAACCCTATTGCGACGCGCCGTCCTCGTCGCACGGACCCGCCCCAAGGACTCCGGGAGGTCCTTTCAGGAACCTCGAACCCGACGTTTGGGATGCTGGTGCAGCCTCGCGGTATATTTTCGCGGTCCAGCGAGCGAGTTATTCAATATGCTCAACCCCAAGAGCCCCGGAGCGGTCCGCGTCGCTCGTGTGTGCGCGCAAGGGCGAGGAGGCGCGCCGGCTCGCCGAGGGAAGGCTGACGGAGAGAGACGCGAGATCGGCGGGAGCCCGCGACCGAGAGAGACGGAGGTAGGCGGAGCGAGACGGGTCAGGTTCGCCGCGGAGACTCCGGGGGAAATCATCCCTCTCGTATTCTGCGGGCTCCGCGAGCACGGGAACGACCTCCCTGCTCTCTCCCCCGACCGAAATCTGAAATCTTTTCGGATCTTTTCCGTTACCAGACCTTAAATTACGATTTTGCGCCGAACCAAATGCACCCTACCCCGATATAACTTTTGAGGTTAGGCACGGTCCTCGTGAAGTTTGCAACTCGCGAGGAAACTTGGGGTTACCTGTTTTACGACACTATCTTCTGTTCTTCAACATCGATGCAGGTAAATCCCGGCTTGTGGCTTCGAGTTAATGGGCTGGGGAGAAAAACGTTTGCATAATAACGAAATATTGACGACCATGTCGAGTTGTATCCAGGGGGGAGAGGGGGTTCTCGTTGGTTTTGGTAAATCGGCGCTCGGGCGACGTGCAGTATTTATTTTCGCGAATTATTCCGCCCGGCCGAAGAGCTCGAAGGCAAACAAAATTCGGTTAACGCGGTGAAATAACTAATTCGAGCCGGGAATTATTTGTCCGGCGGAGCTGTTGCGGTCCCGGGGGTCTCTTTAATCGTAGAAATAACGGGGGGCCCAAAAAATACACCATAAATTGACTAAACCCGAGGGATAATAAACATTCACGGCGTAGAAATTAAATTTACGCCCGATTGGGCCAACTTCCGGGACCCGAGATCGAAGTTGGGGTCGCCGTTATGAAGCAAGGATTGGTCCGTTTCCTGAGGTCCTTTCCCACGAAATATTGTCCCCGCCGTCTCGGGATCCTCGAGTGTCGGTCAAATATGGCCTCGCATTATCTCGATGGCCTTAAACGAGGGAGATACTGGGAGATAAGGTCTTCGCTTGGCGTTGCCATCGCGCGGCACCCAGCGGAACCCCGAGGAGGCCGTCGCCATTTACGTCGCCGGTGTTGACACCGTCGTTCCCGAGGCTCGACTATTCCGGCGCACACGTATGACAGCTGTCAAACGAGCCGGGGATTTTCGTTGACAGGTGCTGCCGACCCGTGACGTAGCGCCTCGAATCGTTGGCTGAGGATCGATGTCTCAGAAACCGATACAAGGGGATTAAGGATCCCAGATGTAGCGCCTAGATATTCTCAAGAATCGAACCCTTTTATAAAAGGAAAACCGCCGCGAAAATCGCCGATTACGATAAATCCATAAAAGTTCGATATTTGAAATCTCATTTCATAATGTCACTCGAGGATCTTCATACCCCGGAGATAGTACACGACTCCTATCGCCGATCGCATAAACCGAGATTAACGTGATATTTCACAAGTCCGATTAGTTAATCTCGGATTAGTAAAATCCATGATGCACCGGCAAAGTTAGACCAACCGCTCGATACCAGGCGATTAACTGGAATCGTAACGTTAGGTCGCGTTAAGTGAGCCCAAATTAA